TTTGAAAAAAATAATCCCTTAGAAAATGAGAAAATCAACCAGTCGTACATTCCTATAGTCATGACTTGTTCTTCAAATTCAACCAGTTCTTCAACGTCTCGGCCATAAAAAAATTTCGACCTAGATCACAGGTAATGGTGCTCGATCGTCGAGTTCTGGTTGAAAAACCAGCTCTGGAAATTGAACGACGCGATTTGTAGGAAAACCTAGTAGTGTAATGATTAGAAGAGGTCATGCATAAGTAGAAGGTACATCATAGATTGATTTCTCCCAAGGAAAGATAATGTTAGAGATAGTTGTCGGTTTGGCCATTTTTTGTCGGCCGGACCTCCCATTTCACAGGCCCAAAATTTGAAAACCCTGGAAGAAATGTGGAAGTGGGACATAGCATTTTGTAGAGCAGACAATTCTCTTTCGAATGGTACACAACACGATGTAAAAGCATGGAGGTTTAGATGAAAATTTTTTGGATGAAAAAAAGCGACACTGTTTATGAGACAACCTAATACTTCACCTAGACCTGACTTTGACAGGATAGCTCAGTATGCCCTTCCAGCTAATGGACCTTCAGGGTGTGGCAAAGGTTGTTCATAAAGTTCTCCCGGAGTAAATAGACTAACTGGTGTAACTTGAAAGTTGAACTGCAGACACCGATGCGGATCGCAGAGGCGATGGGTATCACAAGGGCTCCATCTCTAAAGTTCAGTGGTTCACTTGTTAACCTTCCATTCCACCATTTCCATCCGCTGGCCCGACGACAGAACAGGAGTAGGACGAAATTGGGGCGGGGAGGGGGGAGGGATGGCGTGGGTTAGCGGAAACGTGGAGGAAAGTTTGAATCTGCAATTCGATCACTTTTCGTATTTGTTCGACGACAAGTAAATTTCACGGGTTTGACGGAGGGGGAGTGTCCTGTGAAGAAAAGGATTTATTCCTTTCCCTCGTGGCTTGCCTTCTTGAGGAAAGCCTTTTTTGTCAGTACTTTTAGACGTTCTGGGCAGTTGTTATCTATCTTTTAGCGGTTCACTTTACTTGCAGATGTGAAGGAGGATACCCCTCACAAGCCTGGGAATTTGCCCAAAGGAATGGCGTGTGCAGTGGAGGATGGTATGGTGAAAAGGTAAGGCCGATGTCAGACTTTGCGAATCGAGCGATTCGCTAGCGTCCGCGGTCGCGTCGCGGCCAGCGAATCGCTCATTGGCTGGTACCGCAACGCGACCGCGGACGCTAGCGAATCGCTCGATTCGCAAAGTCTGACATCGGCCTAAGTTGGAAGTGTAGATGACTAGAAATAAAATCAGTTAGTGAGCTGATTCTCTCGTCGCTTAGCAGTAACACTGCGACCATGTCTCTCATACCATCTTTTAGGTGTAGCCGTTATCGAGACAAACTCACTACAGCTCTTTCAGGGTGTGTGTAAACCATATCCTCTCCATCCATGTGGAAAGCACGAAAATCAGACGTACTATGGCGAATGTCCAAACCACACGTACAGAACTCCGGCGTGCAAGAAGTACTGCCAATATGGATACGACAAGCGCTATGATAATGATAAAGTCTACGGTATGTTCAAAATTGAAATCTTAGAACTAGTAGATCTCTCCATTTTCCAGTCCAATTTGGAGGGTTAATGAGTGGCCTAATTGTACAACAAGCTGGTTTGGAAATCTTTTGGGTCTTCCCCGACTTTCACCACAAAATAACCTGTAAGGATGCGCACTCGCGTGCGGGGTGAGGGAAGCGTCCTTGGTTGGTACCAGTTTCCCTACCTCAGAGAGATACAAGGCTTAGCTGGTGCGGATGGCGTACTATCCAGAATATGAGCTCTCGACTGTGTCTGTGATAAGCAACGCCACTTGCCCTTTATGGCTTTTACCCGATGGTAGAAAGAACAGCGATAAAATTAGACAATTCTACCTGTGAAAGAAATATTTTTGCTGATGATTCACATCGTTGCAAGGCACTTGTTATCACAAAATTGATGCAGCAACGCAGCAGAGCGAAAGTCAAATAGCCGGTGTGACTCAGTTTCGTGGATTGGAATAATCACTTTGCCTGCCGGATTAAACACTGATCAAGGTTCTTAGGCACGATTCACCGATGGCAGCCCCATATGCTACCAGCAAGATAATCGTTTGCAGACATAGAATGGACAGTATTAGGGGGTAAATCTGGTGAGAGATGCTTTAAAATCCTCACGAAGCGAAAGCGAAACAATATGCTCTCTTTCGTAACCACTATTCGTCGTTCTGATCGAAATACTACTATTATATGTTTAGATAATCTTTACACATTGAACATTGCTGAAATCATTTTGTGGCATTCATGTTTTTGTTCATTTACAGTACAAAATCTGAGGTGATGTGGTGAGGCGGCGGCGCCCACAAAATCGCGTCCGTCCCACGCGACCGAAAAGTGGAAAAGGGGCGTCGTCGTGAATGTGTTAAAGAGGGAGGAACACCGAAAAAAAATGTGGGGGATGGGATTCAATTCCTGTTTAAATACGAAGTTAAGAGTGCTAAGTTACTCAAAAGTTGAAGAATAAACAAAAGAAACTGCCGTGGAAATAGTAAATTGGAAAGCCTTTTTTGTCGACTCTGGACGGTGTTGGTTGCGGTGCGGAGTGAACGGTTGGAACGAGGTTCCCGAGCAATTGGTTGGCCGGGTTCATCAGATGGGAGGCATGTGGTGCGACAAGTTCATTCGCATATTTAATACACTTTTTTAACAGGGCAGGGATCCCCGGGTGGATGTTGAAGCTTACGCGAGAACGTTCATGCACCCGGGGCCCGGATTTCCACCCTTTGAACATTTGGGTTAGAATTTTTGTTGCTCAAGAACCGTATCGCCATCACTAAAAACTCTACCCTCCCCTCATAGTTTACGGATTTAGACCCGGTTGACTCCAAGCGAGCAATTCGTGCAGTTAATGAATTCTAACGCGGATAATGTATTAGTTGATTCCTTTTCTCTCTTCCTGTATGGTCTATTTGTATTTCCTCGTTCTGGTCTCATCTTCGTCAAATCAATTACTTTGCAAAAAAATTGTCGCCTACAGGAAGTAAGGAATTGCACTTCAGCATCACGTTACGGCTACCGTAATCCAATCGAAGCGTCAAATGAAATGCATGCTTGTGGTGTTGCCGCATACGATTCAGTGTCAATATAGTCTTGATCATGAATATGATGCACGTTTTCGATAGTTGGTGCCAATTAGCTCCAAGCTGAAGCGCCACCTAAACCAAGGTCTCTCCACCACAAATAATCAAACCCTGAACAAGTCTTACCTATTTTTGGCACTACAGTACCACTCAGCGAAGGCCGTGGACATGGGTCTTCAGGTTCATTCTTCTTACGACATTGCAACAAACATGTTTGGTGAAGCGCGGCTCAACCCGAAGGCCCTTTCCTCCACTTCCATCTCCCCCACCCCCGCTGTTAGGGTCAAAACGGGTGAGAAGAACCAAACCACTCGCCATTTGCATTTCAGTGACTTCGGCATATCAGGTTAATAGCGATGAGGCCGCTATCCGAGCAGAGATCATGAGCAGAGGACCCGTTCAAGCGGCATTCACCGTCTATGGCGACTTTATGCTCTACACAGGGGGAATTTATGTGGTGAGTTGAGAGTTTCATGGCGGTGTTCATTCTCAATTGCATCAAAAGAAGCTGTAAACCTAAGTCCATGTCACAATTGGAAAGGTCTAACCATAAGCTTCCGCGCGCGGCTTGCGTTGCGGCATCATGACTGTGAGGCCGAGTACGGCAAAAGTTACTTACAGTTGCCGTTGTTCAGTTAGCGAGTATTTCGAATTAGTCATTGAACAACAAGGCAGTTTGGCCTTTTACCTCTCCCTGTCACACAAATATGCAGATCCTATGCGTGGCACAATCATTTATTCTTGTCTATTTATTTTCCAGCACACAGCAGGCAAACTGATGGGAGGACACGGTGTGAAAATCATCGGATGGGGAGTGGAAAACGGAACGAAATATTGGACAGTTGCCAACTCGTGGAACAGCGACTGGGGAGAAGACGGTACGTGGTTTCAACGTCATTCTTATTCTTGTTACTTGAAAAGAGACATTTTCAATTTGCTCTACATAGAACTGCAAAAAACAATCTTGGTGAAACCAGAGCCTTCGCTTCTAATACTTTTTAGTGTATAAATAAGAGCGGGACCAAGCTCAAAACATAGATTGGGCCGCTGGTTGATGATTGCATCACTCTGTAACGACCTTCGAGGCTGGTGTCAGAGTCCGCGATCCGTCGCGCGATCCACGCGAGTTGCAAAAATCGCAGATGCACCGATCAATACGCGAGGTGCTACTCTAATCCGACCGCCTTTTCTGCTTGATAGTGGTTATTGAAACAGGACTGCTTCATAATTCTATTGTTTCATTCAAATGTTCATGATTTCATTCTACTTTTTTCAGAGGGCGGAACTCAGCATAGACTTTGAATTGAGAAGTGAGTCTGCATAAATTTATTTCCAATGTGAATGCCCTCTTGCTCGTTTCAGACCTCGATTTCGACCGAATAGAGTTATGAACTTTGAAACCTTGAACAGGAAACAAATAGGGATGCTAAGTGAGTTG